GGAGAAGTCCTCCATCGACTCACCATCCTTCAGCCTGTTCGTTTCGTCGTAAACGATCGTGGATTATTTACTGCTGACTGGTTTGACGTGAGAGAAAAATATTGTTCCAGCTTATAATCTACGATTGTATACGAGCAAGCGAACATGCTGCTTGAACTTGAGGGTGGCGTACTCCTGCTTCAGCAGTTGGGCCGTCGCCTTCTTTGCACGGTCAGAGCCGACGCGCATCGCTGCAATGGCCTCCCACGCCTCCTTAGCAGAGTTATTCGCCCCCAATGGCTCCTTGTACTCCGCTGGCACAGCAGCGAGGATAGTCTCCAACGCTGACATGTCGTCTTCTTCGTTGTCGGTGCCCTTGTCAACGGCATTCATGAGCCGTTGGGCTCTAAGCTTGACCTTCATGGTCACCGCCCACTCATCATAGTTGGTGCGAGTCAGCGTCGGCCAACTGGTGTCATTGACCTCCCGCACCATACGCACGACAACCTCTTGTCATGGCTGGGTAGCCACAGCAGCACCGCTGCTGTTGCCCATCTCCAAACCGTCCGTCATCACCAGCGGATAGTCCGACGACGACGCTTATACGGCTCTGATACCACTTATTGGCCCCGGGATCTCCCGCACGGGTGAGCCGATCGCTCACCGGTGTTGCCGACCACACACTACGGCTGGAGATAGAAGAAGAGAGAAAGAACAGAGCGCACACACACAACACAAGCACCAGCGTTGACAGAAGCTCTACAGAGATGGCAAAACTGAACTCGCTCTCTTTACTGAGTTGTAGTGGGAAGCTATATATACAACTCTACCCATCTAATCCTAGTACATAGACATGTCAGGCTGCTACAGTGACTAAATATGACTGCATGGCTAACTTTGGCGCCTGCCTCTGTTATGGTTACAGTGCGGCAGGGGAGCCTTTCAACGCCTGCCCCTGCCACGCGTTCACACCGATGGGAGAGCAGCAGATTACTTTACAAGCTTCACTAGAAACATTCACATTTTCACATGATATGATATATGCCCTTAGTTCACATCAAGCTTATAGCAGTAAAAGGCAGAGTCTATGATATCTGCACTTAGTTCACAGCAAGCTTAACAGCAAAAGGCAGCAATGACAGTTTTCAGAAATAGCCATGACACCTTTCAGACTTTCATTCAGTTTTCAGAAAAAACTAACACACCTGTCTAGATAGCAATGATAGTTCTCAGAAAATAGCCATGACATTCAGTCTTTAGAACTAAAACAACTGTAACAACAAGCTACAAGTGGAAAAATGGCAGCATCATAGACCAGAATAGACACTGGACATTGATCCATCAGAGAAATTATTAAGTTCACATAGCTAATTTAAAAGGAAAAATGACGGCAAAAACAATTCTCAGTCCTTGTCCAATTCTTGAGTCTACACAGCATCATATATCTTATAGGGCAGCAAAGATAACCGGTTAGAAGCAGTAGAAGCCTTTGTCAGGTTCACTCATCAGAAAAAACAACAGATGGGAGTGCAAATACTACTTATGATGAAAATAAATAATTTAGAAATGGACTCCTAATTTCTTACTTAATTTAGATAGTTTCATGAAAAAGGGCCCTCCTAAGACACTTCATGGCAGCAACTCGCTCAGCCTTTTTCTCATCGGACATTGAACTTGTATCCTGTGAAATGGGGTTGTTATAAGCTTCCATCAACTTTGATTTTTTTCTCAACCTTCTTTCCCTCTAAATCAAGCTTCTTAAACTGTTTGGTCTCTTGTGCTGTAAGCTGGGCAAGTTTTGTGGTCTTGAGCTTCTCAGATGATAACTTTTGTTGTAGTTCCCTGCACCTTGATGTTGTTTGCATTTGTTTCCTCCCAGAATTTGCTAAATCTGTCTAATTTTTCCAGATCAATTGCAGATTCTTTTGAGTTTCCATCATCATCTGAGCTGAGTCGTTTTGGCTGTCCTTTTGCAGCTAGAGCTGCCTTTTTTGCTGCCTTCTGACCTATTGGTCGCTTTGGCATCTCTTCAAAAGATTGATCCTTTTCCTCCCCTTCTCCTTCAAGGTTAAATGCTTTTCTTTTATGTGCATTCCTGATTCCTCAACTCTTCATTGTATGTTTTCCACTTCGCCACTTCACAGTAAGTATTCCAAATCTCCATTTGGACAAAGGGTCCTAGCTTTGCTTCTTTGTTGTCTACCACCATAGAACTTGTGGGCTGCATCAATCCACATTTGAAGTAAATACTTGTAAATACTCTTTCGAGCCTTCACATAAAAACACTCGAAGAGGTCAGTCCATCTGTTAATCTTGTGCCATCGATCCTTGCATTGCTTCAGATTCCTTTTCCAATGTGACAGGGTCGTCTTGTTGTATGATTCAACAACATCACCCCAGTATTGGTTACCACCCCTATCAGCTCCACAGCTAGATTCCGTTGAATTTTCTATCCAAGAGCTCATCAATCTAACATCCTCTTCCCCGGTCCACATGATCCGCTTCTCAGTCCTAGCATTTTCACTGTCACTGTCAACATGTTCAGGCTGCTGCTCAGATAAGGTTTGCACTTCTGTCGGTGAACTTCCTTCAATGTTGGTACACATTGCTATGTTCACAGGGCTGTTGTGGACGGGTGCACCAACCAAATGAAAATTGTGTGGCTGATTACCAAAATAGCTCATAATCCCACCAGATGGACGTGGGACTTTATCCCTGCAGCAAACATAGATAGTACAGCAAGTTAGCTAACACAGAGACAGAAAATGCTGAATTATGTACTACTACCACGCTTCATTGAACATTTAAATAGATGGACATCAAACAGTTTATGCAGACAGAAATATCTAAAGGTCTTGTAAAGTCATACAGCAAAAGGAGCACACTTTGGAACCATCAGTCTTTAGAACTAAAACAACTATAACAACAAACTACAGGTCCAGAGAGTAACAGCATCACTCCACAGTCTTACGACAACTTAGCTAATTTAAAAGGAAAAATGGCAGCAAAAACATTTCACACTAACAGCCATGCTGTATTCAGAAAAACAAGCTCTGTTCAGAAAAGTAATGACAGTCTAGTTTTCAGAAAAATAGCAGCACGGTCTATTTGTGGGTAACATAAGATTCAGGATAAAAAAAAATGGATCATCTGTAGCTTGTAACTCCCCAAACCTGGCTGATTGGCATAACTAATTTACTGATTGGCGTATGGGCATAGTATCATCTAGGTGCTAGTGCTAAATAACCCAACTGTGTTTTCTAAAGAGTAGCCCAATTGACCAGTAACGCATGAAACTAATACTACAAAACATCAGCTAAGAGTAGCCCAATTGACCAGCAACACATGAATGACCTTTTGATTAGAACAGCTATACATGTGCATCTTTCAATTTCTTGTGTGTACAGGAAAGCAGGAATGATCAGATGTCTGTTCAATGTTAAATCCAATGGCAAATCTGTGCAACATATATGCCTTGATGCATCCTTGGCAACAAAGTTTGGTCTCTCCAGTACCTTACATGGTTGACATTGCAAATCTAGATAAGAAGCACATCACAAATAAAAGCTCTATTTGCAGTCAAGAACCATAAATAACTTGAAAACTAAATAGACTCTTCTTGTCTTTCCAATTCTTCAAATTAAATAAGAACAAGTGATTACCATGATGGATCCCAAGCTGCTGAACACCCAAACGAAGGAGAAATGGGATCAAAGCCAATTCCACCAAGCAGTAGATGGTGAAGGTGGGAATGGAAACCCACTGTCTAAAAACTATTTCACAGAATTTGGAGCTTTTATAAAAATTTTGTGTTTCTAGATAATTATATGAATATAAAGATAACACTCTCAAACTTATTCTAAAGAGACTAATATGATGTTATTTTTTACTTTAACATGTATATAATTGTAGTGCTCAAGTTTTCTCGATGCCGTCATACTGGTAACAAGCTTCATAAGAAAAACAAAACGTGCGATATAGGAATTGACTTTTACAAATTCTATTGTTATATAAGCCTCTACTATAAAGTAAAAAATTGGTATACAGCCGTTAGTAGGAAGAAAAACCTTATAAATATCATGCACATTCAATAAAGAAATACTTTGAGAATTACTTCTTAAAATCACAAAACTGAACAAAATGTTAACAAAAGTAACTTTGATTTCAGAACAATTGCCTCCCTTATTTGATGGGCTTATTTACCGAAGAGGCATATCCCCTGTATATGAGAGATCAATTTACAACTTAATCTTAGGCAGCCAAGCAAGAAGATAGTACAAAAGGGACATGTTGTCTATATATATATTGTATGAAATAAGAATGAACAAACAACAAATTAGTATTCCCTCATTCAAAGTCATCTCCCTACAGCTTGCTGTTTATTTTCGCTGTTAGCGTCTCATTTCCTTACAAGCCAAACAGACAACCATCTCTGGTACATCGACACTGGTCCGCGGCACCCAAAACAATTAAATAGAAATCAAGAGTATATTTGTCCCTTACAACATTGGCATTACCAAACTGTTTCATAGAGTTTCTTCGCAGTAGTGATTTCGGCCGCTACCTGAAACTACTTGTTCAGTCTCATACAATGTTAGCATGCATCAGAAGAAACCAAAATAATCCATTCAGCCAGTGAGACCCACGTAAAACATCAGTAGGAATAAAAGATAATGTCATACTGATAAAAAAATGGTTGGACAAAAGAAAATCTAATACTGTCCAAATCATATTAGTAGCTTAATAAGTTACACAGCAAGGACTAATTCAGAGAAGAAAATTGAAGTTAAGGATAAACTTCAGCCATGTGCTAGGCAGAGAAACTAACAAACATGCACGTGAGGGCTCAAATTCAAACCCAGCTCATAAATAACCACAACTTAAACTTGGATTATGTATGAGCAGTCAGAGATCAGTAGTGGTTCTCTTGCAAATGGACAAGGCCTGCACAGCTGCTAATAAGCATGAGTTACAGTTCCACCATAGACCATACGCCTGAACCACAAAATGATATGCTTAGATTACACTCTAGAGGGCACAACACCAGCATGAGCTGCAGCATAAGCATCTGCAAGGCCAGGAACAGAGTCCTTGTGACAGTCGATGAACTTCGATTTGAAAGTCTTCTCTCCTAATGTAGTTATTGTGACAAATTCTTTATTGCTATTCAGCAAACCCTTTTCCTGCAGGACCTTCATGACATAATGCCGCGGCACTAGCCTCTTCTCCAGGCTGTATGCGAGCAGGACAGGCCTTTCCACAATGTTCTGTGGCTCCATCGCAGCCTCATTGACTAGGAACTTAATCTTGCGGAGAAGAATTTTGTCAGAAAATCCTAATATAGCTGGCATCTTGGACACTGCAGTGGAAACCTCAGACTCAGAACAACCAAGAGTCATCTTAAAGAACTCAAACTTGGCAGCAACCTTCTCTTTGGAATTACAGGCAAGAGTGGCCACTACGTGCCTGAACATCCGCGAAGTAGGAGGCACCCCAATTTCTTCCGCCCGCAGCAAACACTCCTTCAAGCGTTCCAGGTTGAAGGTAAGCACCCACGGGTTGTTTGAACACAGCTGGGCAATATCTCGAACACCCCACTGACGCAGCAAAGCAACGTTAGGCTTGATTAACCCCTCAAGGCTCGAATTGAGGAGGCGAATATTCCTCTTTAGGGCCACCAGGACCTGCTCAAACGAGCCGTAGAAGGAGATGAAGAATTCGAGCTTGGGAACGACGTCGCTGCGGCGGATAGCATCTGGGCCGACCAGGAGCAAGCGAACGATTTGGGGTGTAGAAAGACCGACGCGGTCGCGGAGAGCCAGAATGCGGAGGGCGATGTTCTTCACCGAAGCGCGGAGGAGCAGCGGGTTCGCGGAGACGACGGCGGCGATGTCGGCGCGGGAGAGACCGGCGCCGGCGAGCAGGGTGATGATAGCATCGGGATTGGAGGCGGAGAAGAGGCGGGAGCGTGAGATCTCCTCCTTGTTGGATTCTCTGGATAAGTCGCGGAACGCCTTCTTGGACACCTCGCGGGCTTGTGCTGGGGCGAGGCCGCAGGAGGCGACGAGGTAGTCCTCGAGGGAGAAGGGCGCGGGGGAGGTGGAGGTGGAGAGGAGGCAGCACGGGCGGGGGTGGATGGGGGCGGGCAGCGGTGATGCGGCGCGGAGCAGAGGGAGGAGGCGATTTTTTAGGCGCAACATCACGGCGGCGGAGGAGCGGCGCCAGCGCGGGCGATGACCGGGTGCGAGACCTGCGAGGGCCAGCCAGCTGCAGCTCTAGGGAGTAGGGACGCTGCGTACAACGGTACAAGGCCGACAAATCCCGCTCCGCCAGCCCAGCGCCTCAGCCCATTTGATGCGTAAGGGGTCGTAGCCGAACTGGAAATTCTGAACAAAAGCCCACCTGCGGCAGTTTCAGTCTTGCAGTTAACAATCAATCCTCTTTGTCTCCTTCTATATATATATACTAGTCCATCACGCGCGCCCTCATGGAGTTAGAAATGCAATCACAGATCTAAACGTGTCTATATATTTTTTTCAAGATCAGAGCATGGAATTAGACAGTATAGATAAGCTAAAATATTCCCTTTTTTTACATATAGGCACATATTTGATATTATACTACAAGCAGGATGGGTATATATATTACATAAAGTGATCACATGGGTTTAGTAATGTTCTTAGGTCATGACATGGGATGGTACTTTACTCATTGCATAACATAGAGTAGCACATAGTGGTTTTGTACATTGAGCAGTCAGGTTGATTAGTAGCAATCCATGCATAACCGAGGATATTCTAGGATTTTACATTGCTTATCCTTATTGGTAAGAGATGTCAGCCGTAGGTCCGATAATCTTACATAAGCTGGTTTTAATAGTGGATGGCAGCCACATGTTGTAAAGTAATCTACTACTCTCTACGTGCGGCAGGGGCAGGCGCCGAAAGAGCTCTCCTGCTGCTGCACTGTAGCAGCGGCAAGGGCAAGCGCCGAAAGGCTCTCCTGCCGCACTGTGGCCACAGCAGGGGCAGACGCCAAAGTCATTCCTGCTGTCACATATAGTCACTGTAGCAGCATGACAGCCTGACATGTCTGTGTATAAGGATTAGATGGGTAGAGTTGTATATATAGCTTCCCACTACAAGTCAGTAAAGAGAGAGAGTTCAGTTTTGCCATCTCCTCTGTAGAGCTCCGACCAACGCTGGTGCTTGTGCTATATGTGTGTGTGCGCTCTGTTCTCCCTTTCTCTTCTACCTCCAGTCGTAGTGTGTGTGCGAGAACGTCGGTGAGCGATCAGCTCACCAGTGCGGGAGATCTCGGGACCAGCAAGTGGTATCAAAGCCGTACAAGCGCCGTCGCTGGACTAACCGCTGGCGATGACGAACGGTTCAGAGATGGACGACAGCAATGGCGCTGTTGTGGCTGCCCATCCACGACAAGAGGTCGTCGTGCACACGGTGCGGAAGGTCAACGACACTAGTTGGCCGACGCTGACTCGCACCAACTATGACGAGTGGGCGATGACCATGAAGGTCAAGCTCAGAGCCCGATGGCTTTGGAATGCCATTGATAAGGGCACCGACAACGAAAAAGACGACATGTCAGCGTTGGAGGCTATCCTCGCTGTAGTGCCAGCAGAGTACAGGGAGCCATTGGGGGTGAAGAACTCTGCTAAGGAGGCGTGGGAGACGATTGTAGCGATGCGCGTCGGCTCTGACCGCGCAAAGAAGGCGACGGCCCAGCTGTTAAAGTAGGAGTACGCCAACCTCAAGTTCAAGGATGGTGAGTCGGTGGAGGACTTCACCTTCCGCCTGCAGTCGCTCATCAACAAGCTGAGGAGCCACGGCGCCACCATCGACGAAGAAGAGGCGGTCTCAAGTACCTCTACTCCGCGTGCGGTGAAGTACATCCAGATCGCTCTCTCCATAGAGACGATCTTTGGACTTGTCCACCCTCACCATTGAGGATGTGACATGTCATCTCTACGGTGGTGGACGCGCATGGAGCAGCCACAAAGAACGACGGACAAAGTGGTAAGCTATGGCGACAGAGGAGTAGGCTTTCCGGATGAAGCAAAAGAAGTCCTGGGAAGCCTCCTCCATTGCTTGGTGGCTATGGCAACGCCGCGACAAGGCTTCTTCAAGAAGAAGAAGAAGAAGAAGGTTGACCCCAATGCCTACCGGCTACCGCAGTAAAAACGGGCCATTGGGCAAAGGAGTGCTCAAATCACAAGTGTGGAGAAGAAGGCTGAGGCTTATTTAACGTAGGCTGATGAGGATGATGATGCCACTCTCCTGATGACGACGTTCTGTGCACTACACGACATTGAGGCCAAGGAGAAGGGAGAGGTGATGGCGGTGGAAGGGCACAGTAAGGCTCTGAAGGCTGTCAACCTCGATGAACCGCATGCCCAAGTCCACCTCGGATGTGTGGGCAGCGAGCAAGAGCAGCGGTGGTACCGGACTCGGGCGCCAAAGAACTACACGATGGGCTCCAAGGAAGCCTTCTCTGAGCTCGATGGCAACATGACCGGCACGGTGAAGTTCGGCAACGGCTCAAGGGTGGCGATCTGAGGGTGCGTCACTATCATCTTCAGGTGCTAGAACGGCGAGCACCACGCGCTGATGGATGCATATTACATCTCACAGCTATGTTCAAGCATCATCAGCATTGGCCAGCTGGATGAGCGCGGCAGCGAGGTACTGATCAAGGACGACGTCCTCAAGATCAGGGACTGGGAGCAACGGCTTCTTGCCAAGGTGAAGAGGTTCCAAAACTGGCTGTACCTATTCAACTTGAAGGTAGAGCAGACGATCTGCTTGGTTGCACAGCACACCGAGGAGCCATGGATGTGGCATGTTTGGTTCAGCCATCTCAGCTTTGACACGCTTGGTCGGCTGGAGAAGATGGTCTGAGGTCTACCCTACATCAAGCACGCAGGCGAGCTATGTGACAGATGTTCGCCCGAGAAGCAGAGGAGGTTGTCGTTCCCAAAGGCGGTCAAGTATCACGTGGTGGACGCTCTCAAGCTTGTCCACGGCGATCTCTGTGGGTCAATCATGCCAGCCATAAATGATGGTCAGCGGTACTTCCTCCTGCTTGTGGATGATTGCAAAAGCGGTCAAGAAGTTCAAGGCACGTGCGGAGGCAATGAGCGGCAAGAAGTCAGACGTCGGCCGTGGGATCGATCACGGGCGAATTCACTTCGATGGAGTTCACTACGTATTGCGCAGATCAGGGTGTGGTGCGACACCACACCACACCATACTCGCCACATCAGAATGGCATGGTGGAGCGGCGGAACCAGACGGTGGTCGACATGGCTCGATCCATGATGAAGGCCAAAAGCATCTTAGGAAAAGTTCAAGGAGAGGCGGTGACGGCACGGCGTTGTTCATCCTCAACCACGCGCCCACCAAGGCCCTAAAGGGCAAGACGCCGTTCAAGCTTGGTATGGGCACAAGCGAGTGTGTCCTTCCTCCCAACATTCGGGCCGCATCGGCCACGTCAGAACGACAAAGCCGGTCCTCACCAAGCTAGAGGACAGGAGCACGCCGATGGTGCTCTTAGGCTACAAGGAAGGTACCAAGGCGTACCGGCTCTATGACCCACATGGAGGCAAGGTGGTTGTCTCGCGCAACGTCGTGTTCAACGAGAAGGCAGCCTAGGACTAGGACAGTCTAGGCACGGGGGAAGCTGGCGGCTTCACCAGCACCTTCATCATCGAGCACTTGGTCATCCACGGTAGTGGAGACACTATAAAAAAGGTGCTGACCACTCCAGCAATAGAGCCGAGCACAACTATGGCGGTGCCAAGAACTACGAGAGGGGTGCCGAGCACTTCGAGAGGGGTGCCGAGCGGTTCTGCAGTGGTGCCGACCACACTAGGACGGGTGCCGAACGCTCCCGTAACGGAGCCGAGAGGTCTTGCAGTGGTACCGACCACTCCAAGACTGGTGCCGAGCATTCCTGCAGTGGTGCCAACCACTCCAAAAGTGGTCCCGAGCGGTCCAGCAGTGGTGCCGATCACTCTAGGACGAGCGCCGAACGCTCCCGTAGCGGAGCCGAGAGGTCTTGCAGTGGTGCCGACCACTCCAAGACTGGTGCCGAGCACTCCTGCAGTGGTGTCAACCACTCTAGGAGTAGTGATGAGCGTTCTAGGGGTAGTGCCAAGCACTATAGTCGGGGTGCCGAGCACTTCAGGTGCTGTGCCGACCACTCCAGTGGAACAGGGGACTCCATCGATGCCGATCGAGTTTGCCTCACCTCCATGCGACATCACTGAGTGAAAGGTCCTTGTTGGTTTTGGTAATTGAGTGACAACCTAGGTGGACTAATTGTGTTTATGTGAGATACACAGGTAATTAGTCCATAGGTACATGTGTATGAGCAACATATGCCATGGAGGTGAAAATGGCTTGGAGATGTTGCAAAGCTCACACATGTGATGATGAAGGAGCTTATTGCACATGAGACATGACATTGAGTCATGTGATCAAGGTGGAGAAGATCAAGACAAGACTTGGCTTGATGGACCGGTTGCAAGCATGAAGGGCAAGTTGAAGGCTTTGGAGTGATGGACCGCGTGGCGGTGAAGCTTGAGCAAGACTTGGCGCCGATGGACGATGGCAACGGTGAAGAGCAAGTAGAGTCAAGATTGATGAACCAATATGATCATGTGATGATATGAAGTGGATCATATCATTGTTGATTGTGTTGGTGCATGTGTTGCATCGATATTGAAGGAGATGGAATGGAATGCGCAAGGCAAAGGTATAACCTAGGGCATTTCATTTCACCGGTCATAGGTGTGTAGAGAAGTTTATGACCGGGTTTAGGATAGATGGCCGTACTATCAAGAGGGGCAAACTTGTTTGCATATCGGTCATCTAGTGCCACTCGAGTGATCTAACTTTGCATTGTCGCTAGGATCGAGTGGCGTGGCAAGTTGAGTGGCTAACATCCTTTGGTAAATGATTGTGAAAATGCTAACACACATACACATGGTGGTGTACACTTGGTGGTGTTGGCACATTTACAAAGGAGGTGGTGTTTGTAGGGGTGAGATGGGTTTGGGTCCCTCTCTCCCTCCCGCCGAGCTTGCTCGGCGGGATTCGGCGCTTTCAGGAAAATAGAATGCCTATTTTCTATTGCGCCGAATGCAGTTCTTGTGGTTAGCACATTGGAGCAAGGGTGATGA